TACCTAAAGGGGTGTCTCTCCAAGAAGCCAAAGTTCGAAGACCTCGCCAATGTCACCCTAGGTGAGGAGTGATCAACCTTCATCCTCAACAGGTTTCCCAAGAAGCAACCCGATCCAGGTAGTTTCACTATAACTCTTTGCATCGGTTCTCATCACAAAAAATTCCTTGGCGGACTTACGCACGAGCATAAATGTGATGCCATATAAGCTTTTTAAGAGGCTAGACATACGTGAACTAAAGACTATGAGGTTTAGTGTCACACTGGTTTATCGCTCTGTCATTAGTCCTAGGGGCATAGTGGAGGACGTGCTAGTACGAGTGGAAAAATTCTGTTATCTAACGGATTTTGTGATCCTGGATATAAGTGAGGATTCTGAGATGCCACTCATAATAAGACTCTATTTCCTAGCCACCGCCAAGGCATTAATTGATGTAAATGAGTGAACTTAGATGCTGAGAGATGGTGAGGAGAGAATTACTCTTTGAATTGATCCTAAGCCTAGGAGTGAGGAAGTGGAACCGGGTGATATGAATGCAAGTGGAGGGAAGCCTTTCAAGGCGAACCCCACTATTACTGTTGGTTCTTGTGATGATGTGAAGCAGGTGATTCGGGCCTAATTGCACATGTTTTGCCCTCGTTTTACTTAGATGTTTGTGCCAAATTCGTTCCTAGAAGGATGGTTTTACGCTAGGTTCTTCGTGTTTGACTGCTTTTCGGGATTTAACAGGTGAAACCAGCCTCGGAGTCGAAAGATGCGAAAAGGATCGAAAACCGGGAGAAGAGGTGAAAAAGAGCCAGTTCACGGCTAACAGAGGGAGTTCACGGTCATGCAAGACCGTGAAGAAGAGGAGTCGACCGTGAATCACGAGGCGTCCAGAGCCGAAGTGAAGGTTACTAACGCAAAGTGAGTTCACGTTCACTAAGACCGTGAACAAGGGTAGTTGACCGTGAACAGACGTGCGCGATGCGGCGCGTTTTGGCGCACACCTAGAGTTCAAGGACGCGTTTCATGGTTCACGGCCGTGAACTCAGCTCATCTCGGGTTTAAAAGATGAGTTGAAAGGAGGAGAGAGGAGAGAGCCCACTTTTGTGTGAAACACCTTCTTCAGCATTCTAGTGAGAGAAACAGAACCAAAGGGAAGAAGAAGGTTAGGGTTTGGTTTCAAGGCAAATTTTCGGAAGATTTCCTCCAAGGAAAGCTCAACTCAAGGGCCAAGAAGACTGGGAGCATCCTCCAAGATGGTTTCCACCTTTTCCCCTTTTGTTTTCCCCACTTCTAGCATGGAGTAGACCTCCTTTCACTTGGGTGTAGTGAAACCCTAACTCTACCATGTAGTTTTCTTGCATGTGTATGGATGATTGTCATTGGGTATTGTTCAATACAATGATTGAGGCCTTATTCACCATGATTGTGCATGCTTGTTCTTAGCAACTTAGGGGTTGTGCATGTTTTGTGCTTAGCATCCTTAGGTTTGTGCATTTAGGTGCTTAGCAACCTAAGGATTGTGCATAATTGTGCTTAGCACCCCTAGGTTTGTGCATTTAGGTGCTAGTAATCTAATTTGCCACCTTAGCGTAGTTTAGAGAGGAAAATCCCCCTTTCAAGGGAGACTCGATCGAGTTGGTTTTCCTTCCGCTTTCTAAGCCACCTAAACTAGGTTAAGTTAGGGCAACCCTCAATATTGAGTTAAGCAATTCAATTAATCATAGATTAAACCGTCCGACCTTAGAGTTGAGTGAGGGAGTAAGTCAATTACCAATTATCTAAACCGATAGGGTCGAGTGACATGACCTTTCATCCTTACCTCAGTTTAGCAATTGAGACTGTGGTCTCCGAACACATATGCATTCATCTGTGGTTCACGATTAATGTGCCCAATGCAATCGTTCCAATCCACATAGCATGGTAGCGGTTAGGGGGAAGCGACACCCGAGTGACTTTCCCAAAAAAGAGTTTGCAAACCAGATTAACTTTGCTTTCTTTCATTTCAATTAGCAAAACTTTAAACCAAAGTTTTATCGCTAGATAATGATTTCAACAACCAAAGTAGGGGTAGACGGACTGGCCTGGGTCAATATCTAAATACTTGCCCTATACTGCACCCAGTTAGAGTTTAAAAACTTGGGCTCTAATTGGGGTTTTTATTGTGGTGTAGTTTCGTGCGAGTCAAGTTTTTGGTGGCGTTGCCAGGGCCTACGGTCTGTTATTCTGGAAATTTTGTTGGTTGTTAATCTAGCTTTTAATTTCCAATTTTGCAGGTGTGTGTTCATTGCTTTTCCTAGACTTGGTGTGTTTTCTGAGTGTGTGTAGGTGGTGCATGACCCGGAGCAACCCGACACCTTTGCTACCGCTTGACGAGAACATTAACCGAACTCTCTGACTCCTAGCACGAGAGAGGGAGCTAGCGGAGGCAAGGAGAAGAGGTGAAAGAGGGGGACAACGCTTGGGTCCCGGTGTTAGTGGAGAAGTAGTTGAATAAGTGAAAGTTGAACCCGTCATTCATGAGGAAATGGCGGGGAACCAAAGGCAAGATGGAGCCTCTCAAGCCCATCAGATGAACGATGCGGCGGAGGAAGAGGATGCCCCGACTACAACAAATTCGGTCTATTATGCCGAGGTAATTTTGTTATATTAGATACTCATTTTGTCATATTTGGTATGATATGACAAAAGGTGTGGTCACAAAGGTTTGTCATTTTATCACCGTCAGGATAGGTCAAATGTGACAAAATTTTAAAACAAGGTTGTCACATTTGGTTTCAGTATAGCTGAGGTTCTGAGTAGTCTATTGTGACAAACAGAGATGTTACGACGACATATTTTTGTCATTAATTTTGTCATAATTTGCTTATTTTGTCATAAATTGTTCGTCATATTACACCGTTATATTTTCACATCACATAATTGTGACAAACGAATTGTCATAAATGCATGATGTGACGAATATATTTTGTCATCACTATATATTAGGACGAACGTATTTTGTCATAACTACATATTGTGACCAATATTATTTATTCACCAATATACTGAATAGCATATAGTTCAAAAATTAATATTCTTATAGCATGAAACTCCAATCAAACAAATGCTAGTTACATATCTAACTTTTTCTGGTGTGCTAAACAAACTAATCTGGGAATTCTGCATCCCTCAACAATGCTGACCTATTGTTGTCACTGCTGCTGCCACTTATATGTTCATACAATCTGTAGAGAAAACCTACATCAAATTGAAAGGATTATTAACCCCAAAACTTATAGGTTTGCAACAGAGATACATAGAAGTACAAGATTGATATGAAACTATTCTGAGATGGGAACAAATCTACCTATTAATAGCCCAAATCAGTGATTGAGGTGTCAAACGCTAGTACCTGTAGGTAGCTGCTAGAGCTTTTGCACATGGCTTTAAGTAAAACAAGAGCAGCCAAGCTCTGTAGCAGAAATTCCCGAAATTAGTGACTTAACAACCTTCTCTAGAAAAACAGCAACAAAATCGGAATTTCCACAAATTGGACTGAGAAACTGCAACAAAGCATAAGCAAACAAGAGAAATCTACAAGACTGCAACAATAATAAAAAAATTTGCAGGCTGCAACAAGATAAACAATTTCAATGAGAAATTTTCAAAGTATACCAGAATTCAAGTCTTTCCCCATGGGTTGTGAAAACTGAAAACTGGATATTAAACTAATGAAACTAAAAAAACAAATTAAATTAGAGGTATTATAACAAACCATTATAAACAAAAAAAAACTTGAACACTCGTACATAGTTTAAACTAAATCAAATTAAAGAAGTTATCAATTCATGTGCCAATCTTCTTGTCTCATGTGATAAACAACCTTCTTCTCTCCATGAAGCATTGCTATCACTCCACCATCTTCTCATTCCCTAGCTCGATATATAAGTATACATTTCAGTTCAAATCACCCATTCATGTGGTTTGAATCAAACATTGGAACATTGTTCCATAAAAGAACACGAGGTAGAAAGATAAACCAACTAAACCAAACCACCCTAAAGGGAATTCGAAAGTTTAGATCTGGGCCTAAAAAAAACTCTAAACCTCACATAATTGTATACGATCAAAACACAATTGCCCGGAAGTCTAGATCTGTAACCATTCGCCCCTCCCTTTCTAATTGAGCGACCAATCTCTTTCCTTACTCCTTTCCTAGTAAATTTGAACTTAACTTTCAAAATCAGACACACAATTTGCCGGAGTCAATGCATAAAACAACATAAACTTTCTTCCCCATCTCTTACATATAATAGATACAACTTCATATCTAGTATCAACCAGAAAACTATAAAATAAGAACAAAAGCATAACAATCTCTTGGAATTATGGTAGGTTCTGATGTATCTACAAGGCGGAAAACCCAAAAGACTAGGCATCACACTTCATTAACCCTTATTGAGACATGACAATTATTAAGGTTTTCAAGTGGCTTATGGTAATCCAGTAGATTTCCAGGAAACGATAAACTACAGCAGAACCATGACCGTAAAGGAAGCGTTTAAGAAACTTCAAATATGTCATGCATCCAATTTTATATTTATAGCCATAGCTATAGCCAATTCCAATTGTTTCAAAGATGAAAATGGAACCAGATGGACTAATCAGCCTATGAATTGACATGGACTTTCAATTCACATATAGCTATGTAAACAACATAAAGAATTGACAGTTTGCACCTTACTGTATTCGTCATTAATTTTATACATGACAGCCTCCTCAAATTCCATGTATGCCTCCCATATCTTATTCCCTCGCGACGTGTAATCCACAGGCAGTTAATGAGATCTTGCATATAATCCGCTGCAGCTCTATTAACTATTCCGTGGATTGAAAATAAAATAGATAGTATTTGGTCTAGTCGCCTTCCGTTGCAGGTCCTCTCCATCATCAATCTACACCCTAAAGCGTAGAAAATCGAAGGAAACACAAAAAAGAAGCTTATTATACAATTAAGAGGCCATTAATATCCCCACCACCAAAACAATTTTGTTCCGCCAACAAAACCCCATAACAAACAGGAAAGAACATGGAATCGATTAACCTGGAGAACCATCTCACCCGGGCTGACGTTTTTGGAGCTATCAGTGTTGACTATATCAACTAAAAATCTTGGCAGGAGCAAGCATCTCAAAAGCAGTAGGGCGGACTATGCGCTAGAGGAGAGGCGACGGAGGCGGGAGGAAACGGTGCAAGGGATTGGAGTGAGGGAAGAAAAATCGAGTTTGAGCCCTCAGAGAGTTGGGAGCAGTGAAGCGGCGGAGAAGTAGAGATGAGATTGGCGGTGATCTGAAAAATGAGAAATTATAGAGGGTTGGGTCAATAAGTAACTAGAGAGAGATAAATTATGACACTGTTATCAATTTTGGGGGTCGTTTGGGCCACCTTAATTAATAAAATGCAGATTCCAAAAATAAAGTTTTGAGTAAATCTAACTTTTTAGTCTTAAATTGTGTTATTGAATATGTGGGATATATAATTATCAATTTCAAAATTAGTAGCAATATGTAGATGTACCTTGAAGCCTTTATTTATCTGAAAAAATTTATAACAACGATTTTATGATCGGCTTTTTAATGGTTAATAACCGGTTATCCAACTTTAAACCTTTTGCTAATCCGGATCGCAGACCGGCCTAGTTTTGAAAACACTGCTTTTTAGCCTTTTGTTTTATTTGGAATGGAGAGTGTGAGTTTGGCACTTTGGCTAGGGCGGTAATACTTAGCCAAAAAATTTGGAATTGTGGGGCCAAATATTTGATGAGCCAAAATTTAGAAGGGGGGGGGGGGGGGTTGCGGGAGAGCCAAATTACTCTATGCATGAATTTTGTAGGAATAATATGAGAAAAGTTACCCTGACAATATAATTTGTCACTTTTGTGTCTCTTATATCCCAATATGAGATGCCTATTTGACAAATGTAATTGTGACACGAAATATTTGTCACATTATTCACTTTAAATGACGAACTATTCTGACAACAAGAAATTTGTCACTGTTGAGTCTCTTACATCCAGATATGAGACGCCTATTTTGACAAAATTAATTGTGGCACGATATATTTGTCACATTACTCACTTTAACTGACGACTTATTATGGCAACAATTTTTTTTGTCACATTAGGCATACCAAATAGGACATATATTATTTTTGTCATATCACCGTACCTATTGTGGCAAACAAAAAATGACAAATTTTTTTTGTCCTAATAGGCCGAATTTGTTGTAGTGCCCGAGGACGATGGAGTACTATATGTCCCCAAGGGCGGAGGACATTCAATCGCCAATCCTAGATCCTCCGATGGCGGCAAACAATTTCGAGATCAAGCCGGCTCTAGTGACTATGATACAAAGTTATGCTCTTTTCCATGGCCTTGAGAGCGAGTCACCAAGAGCGCACGTGCAGAGATTCTTGGAGCTCGCGGGGAGTTTGAAAATTAATGGTGTGCCCACTGAAGCCTTGCAACTAAGGCTTTTCCCTTACTCTAGGGTAAATCACTTAGGTGGCTAAACAACCACCCACCTCGGTCTATCACCTCATGGGACGACCTCCTCAACAAGATTATGGCTCGTTATTGCCCGCCTTCGAAGACGACGGAGTGGAGAAAGAAGATTACACATTTCGAGCAAGAATAGGACGAGACCTTGAGGGATGCTTTGGAGAGGTACTCCGACTACTTTCTTCAATGCCCTCACCACAGGTTTGAAGAATAGTTTCGGATCGAAACCTTCTATGGAGGCCTAATGCAAGAAGATAAAATCCTCATCGACTCCTTGTGCCAAGGGAAGTTGATGAATATGGCTCCACCTCACATAACCGAGATACTTGAAGATATGGCCCTTAGGGGATATGATTGGGGGTTGACTAGAAGTGGAAGAAGAGGCAATGATAGGGGAGTGAGAAGCGTGGGAGCGAGTGCTTCGCTTGAGGCGAAGTTGGATAAGATGCGTGAGGTTATGCTTGAAGATAAGAGGCATGGAAAAAAGCCGGTGTTTTCGTGTGACTGGTGTTCGAGCACTAGCCACGAGATGGCCGAGTGCCAAGCAATGAAGGAGGCAACCACGCTGGAGGAACAAGTCAACTTCGTGGAAAATGCTAGGGTCAACAACCCGTATAGCAATACTTATAACCCCGGATGGAGGAACCACCCTAACTTTGCTTGGTCATCACCTACTAATCCGAGACCCCCGGGTTTTCAAGGCCCTACGGGAAATTTCCAACCTCGGCCCATTACTTGTGTTGGCTTTGATAATGTTGGGCATGAAAGTAAAAAGGGTCCTAAGCCCAAAGGATCGAGATTGAATGCTTGGAGAAGAAGGATAAAGGGAGCTTTGACCCGGAAGAAGGGAGGGGCCGAAGCAATGTTGGCCAACCAAGAGGGCCAACTCAAGGAGCATAAGATGGGAGGCTACAAGCCTCGCCCCGAGAGTGTGGTGGATCCGCTCTCGGTGGCATCATGTTTGAAGTCGTGATTGATCCCCAACCATCAAGCTAATGACGATAAACAAGCGCTTGTTGGGAGGAAACCCAAAGGAGGTTTGTTTTCTTTTCTTTAGTTTTCGTTTTAGTGTCTTGTGAAGGGTTCGAGTGGTGAAGTGTTGTCCCCGTGCCAAGTTTTGTGTTTTTTCGGTTTATGGTTGTGTTGTGATCAATTAGGAGGCACAGGGGAATAGGTTGCATCAAATTTTTTGCAGAAGTTCCCTGTTTTCACCTGAGTTCATGGACATATTGCCGAGTTCACAGTCTTATACGACCGTGAACAGGCAAATGCGTCAGTGAACTTGGTTACTGATGCATGTTCACCACCTGTCAACCACTCCGTGTTCACAGATGCGTTTGGGAGTTCACGGTCTTTACCGTGAACTCGGCAACGTCCGTGAACTCTGAGCCCTGCCTATAAAAGGGGCATGAACGGCGACTCTCACTTCACGACCGTTTTTCACCGTCCTCACCCCCACCTCACTTCCTTCTTCGTCCTACTTCAGTCTCCGGGTTTGTTTTTCGACTTTACCTTTGTGAATTGTGGAGAATTGGATTAGGTAGTGAAGTGAGGTTGAATTTTTTTTGCTTTGCATGGTTGAATCTAGATTAAGGGCGAGGACTTATGTGAATTAGGTCGTGTGATTGATGGATTGATTATTGCATGAGCTTAGTGAGCCTTGGTGGGCGTGTTTGAATCTAATTGTGCTTAATTTTAGAATTTGCCCACCAAGTGTGATGTTATGAATGCAAGTGGAGTTTGTTTTTGTTTGGTGGATGGTAGCCGCCGTGGTAGGGGTTGTGGTTCAACTTTTTGTGTGCTTAAACCGTGAAATACCCACAACCATACCACGATGGTTTGAACTTAAATGTTTGAGAATCATGGTGTAAAAAAATGTGTGCATGCTTGTGCTTAGCAACTTAAGGATTGTGCATAATTGTGCTTAGAACCACTAGGTTTGTGCATTTAGGTGCTAGTAATCTAATTTGCCTCCTTAGCCTAGTTTAGAGAGGAAAATCCCCCTTTCAAGGGAGACTCAATGGAGTTGGTTTTCCTTCCGCTTTCTAAGCTACCGAAACTAGGTTATGTTAGGGAAACCCTCAATATTGAGTTAAGCAAGTCTATTAATCGTGATTAAACCATCCGACCTTAGAGTTTAGTGAGGGAGTAAGTCAATTACAGATTGTCTAAACCGAGAGGGTTGAGTGACACGAACTTTCATCCTACCTCGGTTTAGCAATTGAGACTATGGTCTCCGACCACATATGCATTCCTTTGCGATTCATGATTAACGTGCCCAATGCAATCGTTCCAATCCACAGAGCATGGTAGCGGTTAGGGGGAAGCGACACCCGAGTGACTTTCCCACAAAAGAGTTTTCAAACCAAATTACCTTTGCATTCTTTCATTTCAAATAGCAAACCCTTAAACCAAAGTTTTATCGCTAGATAATGATTTCAACAACCGAAGTAGGGGTAGACGAACTGGCCCGGGTCGATATCTAAATACTTGCACTATACTGCATCCGATTAGAGTTTAAAAACTTGGGCTCTAATTGGGTTTTTGTTATGGGACAATCCAAGTACCACATCGGTTATACAAGGGAAGGAACCCTTGTATATTAGTGTCCACCAATCTCATTAGTACGAGGCCTTTTGGGGAGGACACCCAAAATTAAATCCTTGCGGGCTTGGCCCAAAGCGGACAATATCGTACTAATTGAGCAGGGGCCGTTATGACAAGTGGTATCAGAGCCTGGTTCGGCAGATCCGGGGCGGTGGACGTCAGTTCGGTGGACCCTCGCTCGGTGACCTCGGGGTTTGAGATCTGCATCTGGTTTGGTGGATCCAGGAGAGATCCACGTTTGGGCTTGGCGGATCAAAGAGAGTTCCGCATTTGGGAAGCAGATCAAAGAGAGTTCTGCCTCTGGTAAAGTCCTTGTTGCGAGAAGCCCATCGAAACAAGGCATCTGGCGGATCAAGATAATCGCTGAGGTGAGGACACGATGTTCGTGGTCCTTGGCTTGAGGGGAGGATTGTTATGGGACATTCCAAGTACCACATCGGTTATACAAGGGAAGGAACCCTTGTATATTAGTGTCCACCAATCTCATTAGTACGAGGCCTTTTGGGGAGGACACCCAAAAGTAAATCCGTGCAGGCTTGGCCCAAAGCGGACAATATCGTACTAATTGAGCAGGGGCCGTTATGACAAGTTTATAGAACTCTTCTCCTAATCCCAAACAGAAACCAAACACCTTTTCCCAAACATACAAGGAAAAGGTCAAAACAAAACCCAATCCCAAACCCAAACAGAATTGGCCTAAAACACAAACAAACCCAAATCAAATTCAAGTCATATTCTAGCAATCTCCACCGTGACTTGAATTCTCTCTCAAATACCAGATGTACCAGACGCAACCAAAGTTGCCAGATGTATGTTTGGGAAAAGGTATTTGGTTTTCTGTTTGGGATTAGGAGAAGAGTTCTATAAATACTCTTCATCGCCCTAGTCTGTAGTAAGGTCAGTCAGGTTAGTTTGTTTGGTTTGTCCATTTGGAATTTGGTTTGTAACCTGTACTCTCCTCAAAATTAGTGAAATTTGTTCTCCCCTGCTCGTGGATTAGCTAGCACACATTGTGTTAGTGAACCACGTTAAATTTGTGTTCGTTCGTGTTGGTTTGGATTATCGATTGCACGCTTCTGCTCTGACAAGTGGTATCAGAGCCTGGTTCAGCAGATCCGGGGCGGTGGACGTCAGTTCGGTGGACCCTCGCTCGGTGACCTCGGGGTTTGAGATCTGCATCTGGTTTGGTGGATCCAGGAGAGATCCACGTTTGGGCTTGGCGGATCAAAGAGAGTTCCGCATTTGGGAAACAGATCAAAGAGACAACTGCGTTTGGTAAAGTCCTTGTATCGAGAAGCCCATCGATACAAGGCATCTGGCGGATCAAGATAATCGCTGAGGTGAGGACACGATGTTCGTGGTCCTTGGCTTGAGGGGAGGATTGTTATGGGACAATCCAAGTACCACATCGGTTATACAAGGGAAGGAACCCTTGTATATTAGTGTCCACCAATCTCATTAGTACGAGGCCTTTTGGGGAGGACACCCAAAAGTAAATCCATGCGGGCTTGGCCCAAAGCGGACAATATCGTACTAATTGAGCAGGGGCCGTTATGACAGTTTTTATTGTGGTGTAGTTTCATGCGAGTCAGCAGGAAAGCAAGGAGGGCATCTCGCCCAAAGAAGGAAGGAAAGTAGCTTTGAGGGAAAGGATAAGTCGTGCTAATGCCTAGTGGAAGGAAAAGGGCAAAGCAAAAGTCATCGACCAAGAAGGTCAACCCATGTAGAGTAAGTTGGGAGGCGACATGCCTCGTCCCGAGATCGTGGCAGATCCACTCTTGGAGGCATCACGTTCAAACGCGTGATTGATTAGCTATGTCAAGCTAGTAACATTAACTTAGCATTTGTTGGGAGGTAACCCAACGTAGGTTTGTTTTCTTTTCCTTATTTTCATTTTTGTGTGTCGAGTGAAGAGTTCAAGTGTTCGAGTGATATCCGCGTGCCATGTTTTTTGTGATTGCGTTGTTTCAAGTTGTGTCGTGATTGATAGTAGGCACGGTGGAATAGGTCAAGTAAATTTTTTTCAGAAGTGCCCTATTTTCACTAATGTTCATGGATGGATAGCCCTGTTCACTGTCTTATAAGACCGTGAACTATCAAACGCGTCCGTGAACCAGGGTGCTTCCACGTATGTAAAATCCATCGACCGACCTGAGTTCATGGATGGATTGCAGTGTTCACAGTCTTAACGACCATGAACTAGCAAACGCGTTCATGAACTTTAGGGTTTGCCTATAAAAAGGCCGTGAACAGTCTTATTCACTTCACGGCCCAAAATCTCGCTGGAATTTTCAAAACTCGCCGAAAAACCGCGAAAATCCAACTGTTTTTGCTCATTTCCTCCACTTTCGGCGAGCCAAATCCAAAACCAAGCACATAACCATTCTTCCCTCATCAAAAGCGGCCTTCACTGAGATTTTGGAAAGATTTGGGCACCTTTTTCTGGTGAAGTCGCCGCCGGCGAGCCTCCAACGAGAGTCCGACGAAGCTCTGGCGACCCCTTTCAGGTCTGTTTTTTGCCAATTTTTCTCTTCCTCGACCTCACCTCAGTTCCTCCTACATTCTACTTGAGTCTCTAGGTCAATTTTCAGCTCTACCATATTTAATTTGGGAGAATCAGATTAGGTAGTGAAGTGAGGAGAATTTTAGTTAGTCGAATGTCGAACTTAGAATTAGGGCAAGGAATTAGGTGAATTAGGGTGATTGAATGATTGAATGATGTTGCTTGAGCTTATGAAAGCCTTGGTGGGCATGTTTTAATTCTAATTGCTTTTATTTGTGAAATTTGCCCACCAAGTGCTAATTGTTGAATGATGAGAAATGTTTTGCTTGAGTGGTGGTTTGTAGCCACCGTGACATGGTTTGGGTTTGAATTTTTGTGTGAGATAATCCATGACCACCTAGAACTATGCATCGGTTTGCTTATGCTTAATTGTTTTGATTAGGGGTGGGATTCGGTACGCCGGTAAACGGTTTACCGTTTACCGGCGATATCGGCGGCCGAGCTGCAAATTGGGTGGGTCGGTATACCGAATCCGGTATTGGTAAATACCGACGGTAAATCGGTAATACCGATACCGAACCCCAAAACGTGCTGGAAGAAAGAATGGCGAGAGCTGGTGGAGTGCTAAAGAGCTTCTGGATCACCCGTTTCTCCACGAATCGGAGCTAGATATGTCCGTTGATGAATTCAAAAAGGAGGCCGGGACGAGCTCGCCGAGCTGCGTGTTGGATCAGGGGTTTTGGGATTCCTTGGACGGCGGATTGGACAGCCCGCAAAATCTGACGATCGATGAAGTTCGATGCTCGAGAATTCCACTCGGTGATAGGATCAAGAGCTTGATCAATGTGTTTTCTTCAGCATCGAATTTCTCTGATTGGTGTTCGGAAGAAGAGGGCGATTGGATCACGGTTCGGAGTAACGAGTCCGAGGAAAACGATAGCATGTTCTTGGACGACGAATCATCTGTTGAAGAACAAGATGCAGCATATCCGTTCTGGGATACTGCGATCCTCAATTTGGATCATGGGGAGGAGCTTGGAAGGTCGGATTCCGACGAAGATTCGTCCCCGGCGGCGGGATTAGATTTTGACTCCATTGAAAACGTTGTTGTTACCATTAGTAGTAGAGGAGATGATTATGATGGTTTTCATCTTCATAGGTCTTGTAAAGGTCCAAGATGATTTCCTCTCGACTAGTTTGCGCAGAAACTAGTCCCCTATACTTGGTTACCTCTGCCAATCCATTGAAGCGACAACCTGAAAACAAATGGTTTAGTTGTTCAGTAAAAAGAGAGAACACTGCTTTTACGATGGGAAGTGACCTGGGCTTACAGCAGCAATAGATGGGGTTGAATCCTCTCCAAGCTGTGCGTGTGTAACATCAGCACCAAAAACAATGATTGGACGATCAGTGAGAAGTAGTAGTGAAGGAAGTTGATGAAAATAGTAACATTAATGATACTCTGGGTTGTGTTTAATTTTTCCATCCCCGGATTCTCTAGAGGCTACGACTAAAACAAAACTGGCGTCTCTGAACGAGAAGCTCGATACTCTGGAGCGTCGACTGGAGCTGCGCCGAACCGAAAAATCGCCACACGTCGCCCTTTGCGGTAATTTAGTAAACCGGTTTGTAACCGTTTACCGGTAATTCGGTAATCGGTAAACCGGTTACAAACCGGTATCGGTAAACGGTAAACAGTTTGACCACCGTCGGTATACCGAAACCGGTAAATTCGGTAAACGGTTTACCGTTTACCGACCGATTCCCACCCCTAGTTTTGATTAGTCTGTATCTGTACTGGAAATATAAGTGTGGGGGGAATTCTTTTTCCTCCTAATGAGCTGAGATTGGCGTTTATTTCCACGTATGGTGCATGTTTGTCGATTTTGCAGGATGCTGAACGTGGAGCACGAGTACATCAGCTACCTGGTGAACCAGGCACAGTTCGGAGGCAAGTTCGCCTACCAGAGGGACAACCCGATTGGGCAACATTGGCGGCTGGACCTGGACATTTTTAAGGGTTAAATGCACCGGATACCATTTAAGTATTGCTTTTGTTGCGTGCCAACCACTTAACTTTTTTTAGTTGCAACTAAACCACACAAGTCGGCTTTCGGTTGCACCGTCATATTTTCCATCCATAAACTTAATGGTGGGTATCTTATGGTAATTTTCCATGCCATGTGAGCATTCCAACTCAAAGCGGTTGGTGAGTCATATAAGGGCAACTAAATCTTCATCTGCCTACATCTGGAAATTTCTTTTACGAGCACAAAAAGAGGTTCATCATTCAGAATCTTCCTTTCCGGTCCCTTGCTTCCTACACTAAATATGAAAAAACTGATCCCATTCTCAGTCAAATAACAAAGCACATAAAAGGGTCACATAAACAACAGTTGGAGCACAGCAAGAAAGATCATAAGAACTTTGCTCAATGGTTTCCTGTAATTCAACAAAACATGTAGTTGTGTCACTGGTTCATTATTTTCATTCTCCCTCTAATCCTCGATTGCATGGTTAACTTTCTTCTTGTTATGGCTTTATCAGTGGAGCTTGATGAAGATAGTTTATTGATAGGTTGGTGGTGGAATAAACGAGCATAAGTGTATCTGCCTCAACACTCAGGCAATGCTCTGTTTCTCCCACAATATTTTGATTGTTTAATATTTGACTCATGCACATACATTAGCAGCTGAATTAGGTTGCTCTTTAAGCATTCATGGTTGGAAGTTGTCAGTATCCTTTAGGATTAATGATTTTGGTTGAAGCTTTTTGTTTGATCAATCATGAACATGTTTTTTTAGCTCCCTTGAGTCGAACTTCGTGTTTGACACCTCTAATTAATTGCACCGTGTAAACTATAATAAGATTTTGTGGTTAGTATTGCAGTTAACCTCAACTAACTGCTAACCGTAATTTGCGGTTAGTGGTTAACCGCAAACCGTTTGGGATGCGGTTGCGGTTGGTGATTTTTCCCTTGTGTGGTTGCGGTTAACCGTGTTATTCGGTGCGATTAACCACAACCACACCGTTTCCCTCCCCTACTATTTAAATTCATTAACCAGTGTCCTCTGGTGAGTGGTTGGAGGTTGTTTGTAATAGCAATATAGCATAGTTCTTTCATGGGTGAAAGCCAGAAGTATCTCCAAATCATCAGGTAGTGAATGTTTTTGGTTATTATGATTACTAGTTAATTGACTTTACGATAGTTATGTATTATCTTAAAGAAGAACTTGAAATCAACAACCTACCTGAATCCCCCAATTAGTGTTGCTCGTGAACGTTCGAATGTAAGCGGTATATGGACTGTATATAAGTTTTCAATGGCAGCAAAAGGAGGGCTGCTGGTGCAAGCGAGATTGGGTGGAAAGTGAAGATATACCTTGAGGAGAGAAGCAATATTAGATTGGAGAAGATTGCAAGAATACAAAATTTTCTTTGTAGCTACGTGAAGGAAGAGGCCTTGTGGGATTTTAATAAAGAAAAGAGGAGGAAAATAAGGAAAATATGATAGCCTGTAAGCTGTAACCAAGCAGGCTGAGTTGGAATGCTGGTGTGGACTAAAAATTGCAATTTGGTACCCACCGTTAAGTTTTTGGATGGAAAATGTGACGGTGCAACTAGAAATAAACTTGTGTGGTTTAGTTGCAACTAAGAAAATTTAGGTGGTTAGTATGCAACAAAAGTAATATTTAAATGGTATGTGATGCAATTAACCCACATTTTAAACATGTTCAGGTGCCAAGCCGCAATGTCTGTCACCCCAAGTGGCGCCTGCTGCTCTCTATGGATGAGCTCATCTACCACAAGCTTTGCGTGGAGTTCTACTCCACCTTCGCCCACGTCATCGTCCCCCCCCCCCCCAGCGCAAGAAGAGTCGGCCATACATGGAGTTTATGCTGGGAGGTCAGCGGCGAGTGCTGACCTATGATGCCTTCGCCCAGGCCATGGGGCTCGACCCGACGTACATGATGGAGTGGCAGTACACAGCCGACTTCCACTACTAGGCCGCATTCCGGGCCCTTAGTCGTCTTGAGCATGATCACGAGGAGTACGAGGCGAGCCACACCAATGCGGTGAAGCTGAGGACCCCTTCGAGGATCTTGCATACCCTGCTCACCCGCTCTGTCGTCCCCAGCCTACAGTCGGACGACCTGATCACGAACAGAGGGCTGCTTGACCCCTTCTCCATGAGGCATCCAGTAGAGCCAATCCACCTAGGATCGTTGATTGCCACCTCTTTCGCTAGTGTTTGGGGCGGAACAGGGTGGACACCATGCAAATGGGGGGCATCACCATGAGGCTAGCCTGGCACTTTCATGTGAATCTGGAGCGGTGCTCCATCGTTGGACGGACAGAGCCCTTCCCAGTGGCGACTCTCTACAACCAGAAGCGAGTTCTTCAAGAAGAGCGGGGGTAGAGTACCTTGAGGGGCTTCGACCCTCATGATTCATGAGTCTAGTAGTTGACCCGGCTCTAGTGGAGCCAGATGCAGAGGGACCACCTCTAGAGCAGCCAGTTGCACGAGATCTCGCCCGTCGGCGTCCCTCGCTCCAACGCTCAATGCCACCACCACCACCACCATCATCCGGTGCCAATCCCCTCGTCCATAGGATGGATTGCCTTGAGACCCACGTCGTGCGAGTGACTTCCCAACTCGACCAGTAGACCCACCTACTTGAGCAGATGGCTCCTCGCCAGGGCCTCCTCCCAGATGAGGATGAAGGACCTTCGACTCGAGAGAGGTAGCCGACGAGGGCGATATGTGGCATAGTCGATTCCTTTCGCCCCACTACTACACTTGGAACTCTAAACTCTTTTGTTTTATTTTTCTTTCTTTTATTTTGTATGTGATCATAAACTACTACTATCGTATTGTGATGTGTAATAACCTCGCTTTGAGCGAGTCATGTTGTATTTGTGTATGTGTGTTTTTTGTCTTCTCCTTGAAGCTTCAATCTCCTACCCCGGAAACAATCCCAAATTTCACTCACCAAGCAAAGCAGTAACATCGTTCTACCCCTGTCTTACGCCATTGAGGGCAATGTTGAACATAAGTGTGGGGGGGGGGGGGGTAGTTTATGCTTATGCTTGTGTGAGTATGATAGATGTTGCTTGGAGCCTTGATGTATGCCCAAATTTGAAAATTTTGAGGGCTTCAAGCAATGCTTGCATGATCAAAGTGGTCGGTTTGTAAGAGAAACTCGTGTTTATTGGCATTGACCTTGAATTGTTGCATGTGATCGAGTGTGTTTTATGATGATTACTGAGAGGTGCATTAGGATAGTGCAAAAGTTTAGTCCTCATGTGTGCAAAATTGAATGGATGTCTTGACTCGATTACTTGTTGATTACAATTGCCATGCATTGTGTTTTGTGAAAGTGGAATGAATGAATGGGTGACTAGGTAGCCATGTGAGTTTTGAGCCGATCGTTTTCTTCTTGGGTGCTTAGATCCCTCTTACCATGGTGAGTAACATCATAGTTGTCACTAGTGAGTATGATGGAGGCATAGGATTAGTCCACACCCAAATGTTGATTGTCCCAAAATGTTTTACCCTTAGTCAACCCCTTTGACCCTTATGACTTTGGTGGTCGTTCTCTTGTAGGAGCTTTTTGCTTGTGAGCTTAATGGTGTTTGATAGAACGAACCCCCATCCTTACTTCGTGTCTATAAGTGAGTCATCCTTGTGTCCCAGAGCTCTCACTTTTGAGTTCCATTGAGGTTCTACATAGGAGGATTGCGTGCGGTTCTTGCTAGGAATGAAAGAGAAAAGAGTAGTGTTGGAGTGAGTTCTTAAAAGTGAGCATTGGTTGTTAAAGGTAATGTGGCAAGTGTTTTACTCTATAGTACCCCCCTCAAAAAGAAAAGAGAAAAAAAAATAAAAGGAATGTAGAAAAAAAAAGAATAAAAAAGAGGTAATAAAGCGGGGTAAATAAAGTAGAGAGTGCCACAAAAGAATCAAAGGTATGCTCTAAGAGGGGTTTCTTGGCACTCAAGCCATTGAAACCACCACATTGTTGTTGAGCTCCTTCACTACCAAGTCAAAATGTGATAGCAAGAGTAGATAGAGGAAAAGCACTTAAAGGTAGTTCGTGATGGTTGATAGTGTGGAAGGGAGAAGCAAGCTTTTTGGCCGATGTTAGTGGCTATTGTTTGTAGGGAAGGTTCTTATTCGAAA